TTTGTAAGTGTCTGTGGATTCACAGATGCAGCCCCTGATGTGAACCCAGAGATAGCTGCATAAGAGCAGACATCATGCCAGTATAGTCATTTCTTTTCAATATAATTTTGCACACTGTATAAAGGTTGTGCTGTTTCAGCTGGCTCAGAATAGTTTCTGGGAGGGTTTATGTAAGCACAAGAGTAAGATCATCTGGATTTTACTCTTGTCTCCTGCACTGCTTTAAGCCTGTGTTCTTCCAAAGTTGTGACCTGTGAACTGGTTCAGTTTTTTTCAGGAACCGAGTCTTATTATACATCAGTTTTCTCCCATCTTCAGAATTAAAGTTAATAAATACCTTACAGATGCAGTTCAGAGTCTTGATCAACCACTTAAATGGCCTGTTTCTCAGTTTGAAGCTTAAGAGTGCTGGAGAATTGTGATTAAATGTATGTAGCTATAGTGCAGCAACTTGCTAATACTCTGGCATGCTTAACTCCATAGAACAGACAGGTCAGAGTTTTTGCCAGGCCTCTGGTAGCAGTGGGCAACAGACTTTTTGCTTTTCCTCCCTCCCACCCCAAAATCCTTTTGCTTCAGTAAGTATGCATGATGCACAAGGCAAAGTATTTATAGTGCCATCTAGCTAAATTCGTGGCTGACACTTCCTCTCATTCCTTCTTAAAATCCTCAGAAATTCTAGCAGCAGAAATTAAGGTAATAAAGCAGACCCACTTTGCAGTTGATCAGTGAATGGGCAGGGAATGACACAGTTAAGACTGCATACACAGCAGCTGGTACATGCTAAAGAGGCCATTTGTTGTGAAAAGTAACATGTAAGAGGTTCTGTTTGGTTTTTGTTTGTTTGTTTGTTTGTGGTTTTTTTAACAGGTTTGGAAGAAGCATACCAAGTGAAACAAAGTAACACAGCCTTCTCTTCTGTTAGACTGGCATTTGCACAGAAGAGCTCACAGTACTGAAGTCGCAAAGTCCATTACAGTTATGGGGGAGATGAATGGTAAGACATTATCATCCTGTCATATGACACCATTAAAGCCGTTTCATCATTCAGTTCAGCAAGGGTGACATGAGCCATTCAGCCCGGTCTTCGTAAGGTTGTATCAGAAACAGAAGAGACCTCAGGAAGGTGACGAACCTGTTCTCCCATCTTAGGGTAGGGTCATAGAATCATAGAATTGTTTAGGTTGGAAAGGGCCTTTAAGATCATGGAATCCAACCATAAACCTAGCATGGCCAAGACCACCACTAAACCATGTCCCTAAGCACCACCTACATGCCTTTTAAATGACTCCACCACCTCCCTGGGCAGCCTGTTCCAGCACTGGACAACCCTTTCGGTGAAGAAATTCTTCCTAATACCCAATCTAAACCTCCCTTGGCACAACTTGAGGCCGCTTGCTCTTGTCCTAACACTTGTTACTTGGGAGAAGAGACCGACCCCCACCTGGCCACAGCCTCCTTTCAGGTAGTTGTAGAGAGCAATGAGGTCTCCCCTCAGCCTCCTCTTCTCCAGGCTAAACACCCCCAGCTCCCTCAGCCGCTCCCCATCAGACTTGTGCTCCAGATCCTTCACCAGCTTCGTTGCCCTCCTTTGGACACGCTCCAACACCTCAATGTCTTTCTTGTAGTGAGGGACCCTAAACTGAACACAGTACAGCTATACTTGGTCTATTCCTGATAGCTTTTACTGTAGTCTGTTCTTAAAATCCATACGGGCAGGAAGTCTCTGAAATATCAAGGAAGTGTCTTCCAGTTCTTTGCTAACCTTTTCAAACACATTCCCTGATGTCTCATCTAGATCTGCCTTGGCTGCTGCAACTGAAGCTGGTGTCCCATCAGCCACAGTGAGATGGGTATGTTCATCTTGCTAGCAGTCTCCACCTGAAGGCAAACATTTAGAGCTTTCCTTCTTACCTGTGCCTAAGGCTTCTGATCTCTCCTTGTAAGTCATGTTATCAAGGCCTTTAGTTACCATTTTTACTTGCCTCTGGGCTCTTTCCACCTGACTCACCTGTTTTGTGAAAGGCACTGCCCAAACCAGAAGGTACTCCAGCTGAGACTCCCCCGATGCCACGCAGGACAGAGCAATTGCCCCGTACTGTGTGCCTCTGCATTCTTCCCATTCTACAGCGGTTTGCCTTTCTACCAGCAGCATGACCCTAACTCACGTTCATCTTGTGATCACAGCACACGTGGAGAGCTGCTAGGTTTTTTTTTCCCAATGGCACGGGGGGGAGCATGTGCTGGGGGACCGAACAGGGGATACTGAAAGGATTGTGGAGCAATCTCATCATTAAAAGCACATGGCTGGGAGGCAGGAGTCATGGCTGCATCCCTGCCGCGGGCTTGCCATGCGATTGCAACTTTCCACTTCTCTCTGCTGTACCTCAGTTTCCCCAGCTATAAAACAGAGACAGTCATGGCTCACATTTGCCAAGCGCATTGAGATCTGCATATAAATGTGCAAAAAGACAGCTGATTTGTTTTTTGGAAGAGGAAAATGAGGAATGTGGCTTGTGAGAAATAAAACAAAACATACGTTATTTTTAAATTTTTGTTTCATTTATTTGGCAGTATATCCAAACCCCCCTGCTTCAAAAAAATTACAAAATCAAGTAAAGTAAGTGCACTAAGGAAACCTACAGAATACTGATAAATTTCACACACGTACAGGAAGGAATATAGAGGGAGGAGTAGGATTTTTTTGTTTGTTTCTTTAAATTTGGCTTTTTGAAAAAAAAAAAAAAGCCTTCCCTGCCCCTTGCAGCCTGTACAGCAATTGTCCCAGAGGGCAATGGCTGGAATTCAGCACTTCCTTCCCTAGCAGCCAAGTCACCCTGCAGAAGTTAGCGACTGACCAGCCTGTTGGACGATACATTCTGGGCATCACTCACCAACTGGTTGCCCTTCCCCTCGCCGTGGGGAGGCGAGATGTTTCGGTCCCCTTTGGGAACCGTAGCCCTTAGAACTGGCATCGCTCTCCAGAGTTGCGCTTCCCTTGGAGGGCACAAGGAGGAAAAGGCTCCACAGGCGGCAGCCCTTTCCGCAGAGGCATGTTCACCGCACTCCTACCCCGCTGCCCGAGGCTACCCTAGGATTTGTTGTATGGCTTGTCAGAGAGCTCAGCTTGCCTTGCCTGAGAGAGCAGCCCATCCCTCAGCCATCCCCAGCTGCCGTCCTCATAGACCGTGCATCTGCAGGAGACAGGAAGGCGACTAGGCAACGTATCGCATAATGCAGCCTACAGAAGCCCTTCAGCTGTGGATTAGCCTCCCCTTCCTGCACATGCCCTGGTTCTCCCAGTTGGAGATATTCCTGACTAGACAATAAGATGTTATCCCCATCCAGGCAAAGCCTTTAAGGCAAGCTGTTGTTTTCTCTAAGGCACTTTAATGATCCAAGCTAGAAGGAAGTGAGCTGGGAGGCAGGCACTACCTTTCAGAGCAGGGCCGGAATAAAGCAAAACATTTATTAACAATGTTCCTGTGACTCCAGATCCAGCATATGAAGCTCTTTTGCTCATACTGTTGGGGAGGAGCGAGGGTATGTCCAATGGGTGCTCCCATTCCACCAACCACTTCCTCCAGTGCCATCAGAACACAAACAATGACACAAAAAAATGACCCAGTGTAGCATTGTCCACGTTACCCTCAGCTCCTGTGGACTCATTCCCCTCACCTTCACAAGTGATAGCTTCTCAAATCCAGACCCTCACAGGAAAAGAACCAGACCCCTTCAGTATTTATTATGCCAAAACCTCCGAGCATGGCAGGAAAGATTATGATTCTCACTGGAAATGCGGCACTGTGCCAAAGCCAGTGGAAGTCCCCTGGGTTCACATCAGGAAAACAGCTCAAAGACCAGACAGCCTTTAACAAATCTGGCTCATGAGTGAGACCACAGGAAGGACTAAGCTTTCTTCTTTTCCTACACTTGCTAGGTACCAGCTCATTCCTCCCCAAGGAAAGCAGTGTGCAAAAAGGGAAAGGTTGGGACAAAAGTCCTGCTGATCTTCACTCAAGCAGAACATTCTTTTGCAGATGCAAGTGGAGTTTTGCTTGAGTAAGCACTAGGGACTGCAAGACTCCTGGCAACAACTGCTGAAGTTGCTCCCAAACAGGAAGATGGAATTCACAAGCAGTCATCTCAGGGTACGTGTAACTGCTTGGGACGCACAGCAGGGGCATGAAGGGAACGTGGAAACTGGATGTTCATGTGTGTGAGTTTATGAAGTACATTTGACAACTGCAGGAGAAAATCAGCTGCACTTGAGGCTACAGAGGTGATTGTCAACAAAACGGCATTTTATTTATACCTAGGACCAATGCTCTGAGAAACGGGTCAGATGAAAATGACCCATGAAAGGATGTGAGGGCGGTCAAAGATGGTCTGATCAAAGACACTGTGAAATATGTTAGCAATAAGGCTTCCAGCCCTGACTCCAAACTCAGACCTGGAATCAAAGAATAATGCTGCTGCCTTATCCCAGTGGGAGACGGAAAGCCCAAGACGACGGCTAACAGCCCTGACTCCAACTACACTGTTTTCTATGTAGTTAAGCCTTTTAAGATATGTTACTAATGGGATTGCCTGGTCCCTCTGTCTCTAGATTACTTGGCACTTCCCTCTGGGCAATTCAGAGAGGCATGAGCATGGACTTTGACCACATGGTCAATGCTAGCTAAGGGAGCAAGAGCTAGAGAGCTGCAGTATCAATCCATGCCTGGTTAAACTAATTACATCCAGCCCTGTCTCTTCTTCCCATGAGGGACACTGCTGTCCCCCTGTTGAGAAATACCCTGTAGCGCAGGGCTCACAAGTTGCTTGTGTTGTTCACGGTGGCTGAGCGCAGTGCGATACAAACTGTGCATAGGCATTACAGGACTGTCAATAACAAAAACCCACATGTTGCATGTTCTTGAAAGATCTAGAGCTACGAAACATACAAAAGCTGAATTACTACCATAGGAAATAAAGTAATAAAAAAAACAAAACAAAAGGGGGAGTCAGCATGTGAATGTGATAAGAAAAAAATATGATAGCACCTCTAAGGAGGGGGCAGGGAGAGTAAGAGTGAGATGAGGTCAAAAGGAACCATGTTGTGTCGGAGCCCACAATGTACTGGAGGAGCTGCTGGGGACAGTCCAGTGGAAAGCAAGGAGGAACGTGCCGGACTCATGCCAGCAGCATGGCACCATGACTTCCAGGTGTCACACCAGGCTGACCAGCTTTGAGGAGCTCGAACCAAAGGGGAGGGTAAGCAGGGCAAGGTCCTTGGCTAATAATGCCCTGCACCACACGTGCTCAGCCACAAACCTGCCAGGCCTGTATTTCTGCAGCCAAGGCTGGTGCCGACAATTACATCAATTGAACACCCCTTTTTCTATCCAGCACTGACCTCCATCCTTTCCCCAGATCCAGGGGAACAAGAAATCCCTGTTAGTTCTTGGAGGGAGCAGCTGTCTGCTCTGGGAAAGGGTCCCAGAGGCTGCTCTAAGTCCCTCCCAGCCTTCCAAGGCCCCAGCAATGAAGCTCCCTGAACAGGTGGGCTCTGCTCCCCTTTCCTGGCCCCATTCTCTGTGTATTACAAAACAAATAACCCATCGCTATACAATGTAAATATCTGTGACTGGGCAACTGTAGCAGACACTTGTGCATACTGAGATCCGCACTGGAGGACAGGGTGGCAGGTTGGGCCCATCCTCCTGGGCTCCTCCGGTGTGGAGGCCCCTTACATCTCCTTGGTGCTCATTCTCTTGGTCTTCTCGGCCGTCTCCTAGAGAAACAGAGCACAAAAGTGAAGCTCTGCACAGACACAGGAGCTGGCAGTGCCCAAGCCTTTGGTCCATCCACGAACAGTGCCAACACTGTCTTACACCTCCAAGCCTCACACCTGTATTTGTCCCCACAGGCAACAGAGACCCCTCTTTACCGTGCTCCCCCTTTTACCAGAAGTCTCCAAGTGACAGAAGCAGAGGCAACCCCTCCAGCAAGGAGAGACTTCATGCAAGCAGACCTTCCCAGCCTCATGCTAACCTGATGCTTCTGCAGTTCCTGAATGTATCTAGCCAGCTCCTCCTCAGTCAAGTCTTCATCAGGTCGCTGTCTGTGAGCAGGCACCTTCTCATTCTTCCCTGCAAACAGAAATGGAGTTCAGCATTATCACAAACAGGGGATGCAAATTTCAGAGGTTGAACCACATAGAACAAAAAGAGGCAGGTCAGCCACAGCATACCTCAAGCTTAGGAAGGTTTTGCTGGAGAAGGTATGGGTTGGCTTCTTAGGAAGAGAATTGGCCTTGTGGCTGCCTGGGACTTCAGAACCTGGGTATCCAGTCTGTCCCCATCTCTCCCTTCCACATGATAAATAATAAAACCACAAGGAAGAGGCTGCATATTATTCCAAAGCAGCACCTATAATTAGTTCAAACATCTTGGCCTCTCATAGGGAATAAATGGAAGCTCAGTGCTATCCCAGTACCTCTTCATTAGGCATCAGTTATTGTAATTTCACTCAGTGGAGACACAACTTGCTGATGTATCCAATCTGATTCGTTCACTTTATTACCCTTCTAACAATAGCCTCTAACCCCTCTGCTGCTCTGACATGGCAGAAAGTCAAGGAATTGTTGTCCCATTGCGTGCTTCTGCCATGGATGCAGGGAACAAAGTAGACAGCAAGACCGGGTGTTGCATAGCAACTTTGAAGGTTGTTTCTGGGGAGGTAAGAAAATGAGTCTCTCATTCAGTTGCTTAACCTCTGAGACCTACCCACAGCTCCTCTGGCAGCTCTATCAGTACTACAGTTATCTTTTCTGAGGTGAGTTCCTGCTGCCACAGCCAAGTCTGGGCTGAGGTGAACCCGAAGCCTCTGCTGCAGAAGGCCAGAGAAACATGAAAGAAACTGTACATACTTTTTGCTGTTCTCTCTCCTACTCTGCCCAAGCTACTGACTATAGATCTGAACTAACGTACTGCTGACAGCTCCCGCACAGCACTGAAAACAAAGCTCATGCAAAGGCCTGGTTTCTTGGGAAGAAGGCCAGAAAAATGCAGCGCAGTGCTGGGAGGGTGGCTGTGGCTCCCTGAAAAGGACCTCTACATTTCCCAAGGCAGGGAAAAACTGGCTTTGCACCTGCCCTGCACCATCTGTCAGAAGGCAAAACAGGGAACTGTTGTTCACAACCCCACCACCACTTCTCACAGTTGTAACACGGCTGTGAAAGTTTAAGAAGGGCCTTCCAAAGGAAGAACAGACAGACTAACAACACTGCCTTACTATGAACACGACCTCCCTTCATCTCCATCACCATTATTTTCTTCTACTACAGTTTCTATGGCAAGAAGCTAAAGTGCTTTCTTGGCATTACTGGATGAAGTCTCCTATCTCCCCTCTGGGGCAAGACAGGACCCTAGCTCCTGCTTTACAGATACCATAAACAGATACAGTGAGGATGCTGACACATATACAGGGAAGCTGACTGGCTCACACCTACACATACAGTTGCAGACAGTGACCTGTTTGGTCTGTCCATGCCCCAAGCCAGCTGGACGCAGAGTAGCTCTGGTCTGGAAAATCTGGTACTGAATTTTCATAACAAATCCAAACTACAAACCCCAGCAGCATTGCCCCCATCCCAGTTACACACTTTCTGACCTCTAGAACAGAATCAGCTTGGGTTTGGCCAACTTGGAGCACAGAAGGGTGATGCAGAAGCCACCCACAGAGAAGCTGAGGAAAAGCTAGAGAGAGAAGAAATCTGGACAGCTGGTGCCCTTGGAAAGAGAGAAAGCAAAAATCCCTTTTGTACTAAACCAAATACAGTAATTGTCTGGAGAGCATACGGACCCTCGCATGTCATTGCAGTGCACACCCAGTTCCCACAGGCACAGACGCAACGGTTGCACTCCACCTGGGTCTCTGCTCCGTCCTCATAGGTTTCGTCTTCCAGGGCACACTCTAGGGAGGCACAAAATAACAGCAGTGGTTGTGAGATAGCGAGCAGGCTAAAGACAACATACTTTGGAGATGCCTTGAGAGAGAAGAGGTCCAAGGTTTTGGAGGAGCCCTTCCTTCTGCTAAAGACAACATACTTTGGAGATGCCTTCAGAGAGAAGAGGTCCAAGGTTTTGGAGAAGCCCTTCCTTCCCCTAACTACCAAAAGTTTCATAATGACTAAAATATTCATGCTGAATTTGGTGTGTGAAATCAGCCAAAAAATAATTTGGCAAAGTCAAACGCTTCATTTTGCTTCCTCAAAAGAACACATTTCAGTTTCTCAATTCCAAATAAAATCTCAATATTGGATTTGTTTGAATTTTGTAATCTGTTATACATAGAAAAGAATCCCCAAAGTGAAAGTTTTGGTTGCTCTGAAACAATTCCTGTTCCAGATGGGGAGAAGTTGGGGAAATTATTTGTGTATTTGCTGTTATCCTGAGAAAGGAAGGTAAAAAAGAAGTGATTTCTCATTTCAGCTCACATTTCTTCTCACAGCTCTACTACATGTTTAAGCTGAGGCCCCCACAGCACTCAAGGGCACGTATACTATTAAGTGAAAACCAGCTGATGATGTTTTCTGGGGGAGGTGCAGCATCCCTAGCTTCCCATTGAAACGGGCAACAGAGGGTTCAACTTAATATTCCATAGGAAGCATAGCCTCTGTCTGCTCCTCGGTGCCACCGCAGTGGGATGTAAATCTGGCACCTTTGGACCAGCACCTCCTGAGGAGACAATTAGATGAATGGCTAGGCATGCCTGGTCAGCAGAACACTAAGCTGCTTTCATGTGAACTGTAGCACTAAGCAGGATTTGGAAGAATAGTGAACTTTGAGATGTTCATCAGGGAGGCTCTCCGTGTGAAAGGCAGAGCATAGCAGGACTTTGGTCTGGTCTGACTTTCCTAAATTATCCAGACATGAACTCCTCACATGATTTATTTCCACACTGTTAAATACATGCCTTGTCCTTCCAAGCATACCATATCCATTTGACCTATGCTCTTGCTTTTAAAATCCAAACCTTTTTCATCACAAGAGCTGTGGGAGTTCTGGGACAGAAAAAGCAGCACTCTTGACAATGCAGGGACAAGGGGTGCTGTCAGATGAGAGGTGCGCATATATCAACATTGTCTCTGGGAGCAGAGTTACAGCATCCAATGTGTGGCCCAAAGCTGATCTCTTTTCCTTCCTCCTTCCCAGGACCCCTCTGATTCCCCAATATAAGTGAGGTGTTCCTACTTTTCTCTGGTGGGTTGAAGGAGGGGCTGAGGCACTTGAGAAATTCATTGAAGCTGAGCTTCCAGTCAGCATTTTCATCTGACAGCTCGATGAGAGCATCTACGCAGAGTCCCCTGAAAGGAAACACAGAGGCATGTTCTGCAAAGGGCTGTACTAGGCTGGTCCCTGCTCTACTGGCTTCAGAGTATAGATGAGTAAAACCAGTAATAACTACAAAGGCTCTGCGATGCCTGGCAGAAGTGGCTTCTGTAAGGAAAACCTCACAGGATACAGACAAAAGAAAAATAGTCACAAAATGCTCTCTGTCTGGCGAAGGGCCAGGAAGTGGGGGGATATTCAGAAAAGCAGGAATAGGACCTTGTTGACATCGACATGCTGTCACACGAGTAGAGATGCAAGCACAGCATAACCACAAGCAGCCTGTTCTCCTCATTGTCTCGCACACAGTGGCACACACAGAGAGAAAGGAAAACCTCTCAAACTACATTTTCATGCGATGCACCAGCTCTAACTGCAGGTTGCTCATGAGCTGTGTTTTCCCACTATCTTCCTTGCACTGGATCTAGCTATCAGACAAAAGGTCAGTAAAAAGTGCTCTGGAAAGCTAATTTATTAGGAAATAAAAGACAAATTTTCTGTCACCCAACTCACCTTCTGGCTGCACACCTACTAGATTTAAGGAAAAATAGGATTGGAACACATGCCTAACGTGAAGGGTAGGGGTGGGACTGTTCCTTTTGGTGGTATTAACACCTAATTAAGTGAGAAGCCACTTCATACACAGTTATCTTTGTTAGTGCCAGCCCTAACCGATATTTTACAGGAGTGGATTTTCATGCCCCCTTCTACCACATGTGGCCCCCTGGCCCTCCTTCTGGCATCCTGTCCACTGCCCACCTGAGCAGCTTGTTGGTCTCCTGGTCCACGTAGGTGGTGATGTTGACAGCAGTCTCATTCTGCTCCACAAACTTCAGGAATTCAGTGGAGTCCAAGCGAGAATCACCATCGTCAAAGCTCTACAGGGAAAGATGGGAGGATGTAAGACAGTCTGATTTATCAGTTGCGGTTACCCCTTCCTTCTCCCTCTTCCATATGTACTTAGCATTTTTGAAGCTTTGGTGAAACAGGTTGCATCATCCCTGTTTTGCACAAAGAACAGAGGCTCAGAGAAAAGCAGTAACATATCCATACTAGCATCAGAACTAGCAGACATGATCCTAGCCCTTGTTCTCACTGATAAGCTACACTGCCTGTCATTCACCTCCTGCTGCTTGATTTATGGCTCTAACCCCACTTCTTCTCTTTGTTCCAGGCAGCTCTTAGCCTTCTCATATACCTCCTGCCTTAAAGCAGATCAGTTGTATTCAAGGTGGTGTCAACTTTCCAGTATGTGTAAATCCAAAGCTGTGCCTGGACTCTGACAGTGACAAAAGGGAAAATCACAGGAAGCAATTTTCTGCTGATCCCAAAGAAGGAACAATTTAATGCAACAGCACAACGCCTCGCCACCAACTTCTTAAGGTCCTGACAGGACTCCTGGCACTGGAGAGCCTGATTTTTAGCCCTGAAATCCTGGCTGTACTCCCAAAGACATAATTGCATTTTGCCTTCCTGTTTGGAGATGTCATA